ATCGATGTAGAACGATAAGAATATTATGTACAAGGTAGCCTTCGAATTTTGCTTTTTATGTCTGAAAATGAATGGAGCAGAAAAAGATGGTAATGAAGTGGACTTTATTGATGAAATACTCGTCCACTATATCTGTTCAGCTGAGCTTATGTTTTGTTAGTGTGGACATGGACATTCCTTGGCCCAAACCGGGCCTATATTTTCTCACCGAAAAGGCATTCTCTGCGATGCATCCGAATAGCTGCATCATGTCAGCCCGCAGTTTGGTTTCCTTTGCCACGTTACGCAGCTGTTTGTTGAAGGTAGTAGTTCAGAGAGATGCCAAATATTTTTGAATATTTTTCTAGTTGATGTGATATCTGCATAGAAACGTTTTGGACGTTAAAAGATTTTTGGCGTTCAAATTATCTACACAGAATGGGGCACACTGCTTTTGCTGAGTTTTGATTTTAATTTCCGTCGTTGGAGTAATTTTGCTTAATGAGAAGGTATTGGTTCAGCCATTTTGATTTTTTCGAAACCTGCGTTGATGCGTTGCGCTGATAACGGTTTTCACGATGTCTGATTAATCATTAATCATATCTGAATTTCATTAATCTGTATTATTGACCAGTTCTTTTTTGACATGTTTTCAGACGTCATCAAAGTGCCCGGAGCGGAAGACGAAAACTTTCCTAAACACATTGAAGCTTCCATGCAAAAGATCGAAAATAAAGTTGTTCCTTTACTGGGTACGTGTGTCGTACTTTCCTGTTGGTCATGGTTCATTATGCGCGATGATTTTAGAAAAACTGTTTCCAGATAAAGAACAGATAAAGCCGCTGGTCATTAACCCTCCTAAGACGCGACTGCATATGGAATATACCAGTTGGCTGTACAATTGGTTGCGAAAAATGCCCATATTTCAAAATTCAGAGCTTAAGTGGCAGGTTCACAGCTATCTGGAACATCTTCGGGTAAGATTTTCTTCGAAACCCTTGGAAGAGTTGTTTTGGTTTTCGACCCATCGGCGAATTTTTTTCTCGATGCATGATTGCGAAGCCCACATAGAGAAGGTAAAGTTTTTCTCACAGTCGACCCATTTCGTTATCAACAACGATCGCTTCATCAGGACTTCAGATGACCATTTTCTCTTTAGTGCAGATGTCTTCGTACATGTAAAGAATATGAGAAGGCTGTAAGGCTGATTATGCTAAACAAACTGGAACATAAGATGGAACATAAGCCCTTCAGTCCAATCTTCGAGCTTCCCATGTAGATGTCGATCGGGAGGCCATCATGCAAAGTAGCTGAATAACATGGAGGCAAATCGACGTTCTGAGAGAAAATGTTCATTCTATGATGCAGCAATCTGCGTCTTTTAGCGGATGTGTTAAAAAGCTGACAATGTAACGGCTATCATAAACTCATGAATGTCGTGCTAAAGCAGACGGTTCAACGATATTTTCATAGTTAATAGCAACAGTCGTACGTCCACCAACTGATATAGTTAGGTAAACTGACGCCATGGCAGGAAGTTTTGCCGTTGCTGAGAGAATAACAACTTGCTGTCAAAGTCATTTGATCTAAACGCTGCTTCGTTAAGAGCTGGGATTCGTGATGAAAGGGAACTTCATTGTGGCAGGTCTTCTCCAGACTTCCTGGATCTAGTCATATCTGCATGGCAGCGATGTGCTGCATGTGGCGCAATGTTAATGTTTTCAGTATCTTCTCATATGCCTCCTAAGAAGGGCGAGTTTTCAAAACATTTCCGGATTTTTAAAAATGTTGTTCTTGTGTATTGAGTGCTTTGGAAGGTTGATCTATATGGCTTACTTTTTATAACACGTAGCTATTGGCTTTAGGTTTATCTGAACGCTCTGGAAATCAATGCACATCTGCCTGTTTTGTACGCCGTGGAGTACCTTTCAAGCACGTTTCAGGAACTAAAGCAGATGGAGGTGACTGATAACGAAAAAAGACTGAACTTCGAATTAAAAGGTGAATGTGTGACAGGTTTCAGGTTTCAGCAGCACGGAAATATAACCTGCTTATTTTTGTTCCTCGTAGTCATTTACTGGTGCATGTTGACCTTCTAGTTGAGGAGTTTCTATGAGATTCGACGGTTGTTAATCGATTCATCAAGTTTTTATTTGTTCTGGATTTGTTAATGACTTGGTAGCTTAATCTTGATCTTAGTTATCCTTTGAGATGCGAAGAACTCACATGATTAAAAGTGTCTTCGAGTTGTGCCATTACTCGCAGTATTTGCAGCGAAATATTCTAAGGGAAGGTTCACCGCGACTTTCGACGACCTTTGCTTTTACGGAAATGCAACTACAATGGTTTGGAATGACCTGTGTTAGTATTCTTCAGGCATATTTTAAAATACTTGTTTAAAGTTGATCTTGATTAATTAATATAATCGCGCTTGTAATATCGTAACTGTAAACTTTTTTAGATGATATGGTGAATTCTTGCTTATTACTAAATGAGCGACGTGAAGACTTCTAAAAAAATATTTCATTCGTCATATGTTGCGTACTTAGCTTCGAATTTTAAGGCGGTTATAACTCCCCTCAGTTCCTCAGATAAGCAGTAAAGACTACAACGGGCGCAAGAATTCGCCAGGTAATCTAGCAGCAGCACGATGATGCGGGAAATGGCCAGTGATCCAACTTCACAGATTAACTGGCTGGGATATGACCGCAGATGTCTTCTATGCGTGGTAGATAGATGAGTACTGTAGTGTGCTAACGGTTCCACTGCACATTCTCACTCTGTTTTTTCTCCCCTACCGCAAAGAAATAGAGTAAATATTGGCACCAAGCCAACTCTGTTGCCTGGTCATAGCTATTTGGAGCAAAGGTCCAAACACCGACCTCTTGCACTTGTTGTTGAGAATTTTGTGAATAATTGTAACGTGATGCATCATGTCATTGCTATTTTTCTTGACTTATTTATTTCCTACCGACCAAGACCATTCAGTGACTTCTCTCTTTTCCATCACAATGAATCAAGCCCTCTTAGAAAAACAGCCCGTTGCGTAGTGCACTAGATTGGGATTGTTGAAGCCTCCATCATGGAGGTTGTTTCTGTAA